CTTCTGATAATACATTCACTCTGGATATTTTTTGAAGTCGAAATGTAGTATTAAATATTCAATATTTTCAGGCTAGATATAAATAAAAAGCTAAAAGTGATTAATCGAAATAAAACTCTAAATAACATGAATATATTATATAAAATGTAGTACATAAATTATTAAAACAGCAAAGCAGGCATAGCTAAGCATAATATAAAACATACCTAGTAAAACTTACGAAGTATAAGAACACAAAATAAATTTTACAAAATGTAAAATCAAGTATGTTTAAAAAGCAATTATTTCTAAGCAAACTGCTTTAAATATCGCTGAGTTTTTTATCTAAAATTAATTATTTGAAATTCAATATATTTAAAAATGCTCATTAAACCAAAACTTACAACCAACGTGTCACTACCCGTAATTAGTGGTATAAAAACGGTTGTTTAGTGGAAATTTTTAACTTTTACGAAATTTCCAGTTGAGCTTGAACTGCGAGTAATTTTATTCATTCAACGGGTGTTAGAAACAGTTTCTGTGAGAGTTTCAGTTATAATAGCGTGTACCAACTGCTACATTAATACAAAAAATAACGATAATAAAATGTAAGTTATTGCAACGTTGATAGACGTATAGGAGTTGTAATTTCGTATTTTCATTTCTGATAACTTTATTTAAACCATTATTAACGAAACTGGTGATAAATCTGGAGTACGTAACATATTGAAAATTTCAAACTTGCTAATAATACGCTAGAATTTAGTTATGGAACAGGGTTTCCTGTCTGGGAAGACGAAATCCTAGTGACGTTTTCATTGCAGAGTTATTCATGATTTGCCCTTTCTTTGACTAATATTCTCCATTTTCTCTCCTAAAACAGATTAGGTTTGCGACGCTATTTTCAGTTTTAAAGCGTAAGAAACTAATCTAGAACACTATAGAAACAGCAGAAGATAATCCTGTGCCCCTCTTACTTGCAACTGCAGAGTGAAAAGGTGTTTCAAGTACAATAAATGTAATCAGTATAGATGTGACCACAGTGATGTATCCATTGAGAAAGTTATCAAAGGAAAGAGGGCAAAAAGAGTTTCCAAAACAGAAAATAATACAAAGAAAATTAGAAGTGAAAAAAAAAATTCTGCGTCTGCTTTTTCGAAAGCTAAAACTACTTGTAATAGATATTGATTCAAAGGTTAATGAAGTTAATCTATTATTTTCTTTGCAAAAACTTTTTGCATCGGCCACCTTTTATAGCTTGTCGGATATTGCTATTATTAAAATACTTCTGGTTGTTTTTTAAGCCTAAATATCTGGGTTTCTGTTATAGTTTACACCAAACGTAGCAGTTGATACTCGTCAGAAGAGGTCAACGTTTGAAAATTTAAAAGATGTTTTAGCTTTTCTACGGGTTTGGACTATTTAGACTCAAATCTAAGCGATGCAACACTCAAACGTGAAAAATTAGTTCTACCTGATCTAATGATGAGAAAATGTGACTTCACATTTTATGAATTTTTGTTTGGTCTTGTCACAATTTCATGATTTACGTTTTTTATAACACATATTTCTACTTGTTGTCTTTCTAAAATTTTAAGTTTAACTTCATATAATATACTATTGTCAATATTTTTACTGTTAAAAGAACATAACTGCGAATTTCAGAAAACTTGTCTTTGAAATTAATACTAACAGTTGTGATTTTATATAAGTAAATGAGCAGCCCGCAGAGGAATTTGCTGTTATTAAAGTTTTCGTTTCATTACCAGATAACAATTAAATGTAAAAATCGTGAGTAAAATATTTTTTGTTAGAGTCTGGAAAAGCAGAAATGAAAATATAGAGATTGTGAAGGTAAAAACTAACAAAGCTGGGAAACTTTTACAGTCTGATTGGGTTAAAAACTTTATTCCGCTGCTGAGGTTGCACACAAAACAACCACCAGCTGTTGAAGAGACAACGACCCCCCTTATTAACTTAAAGACTCTTCTCAAATAAAGAAGCGAGGTAACCGTCAGGCATGAGAAGACGCTCTTGTCTGAAGAGACTGAAATATAAAGGCCTAATAAGATGCAGCGTTCTTTACGAACAATTGATTTCAAATCCGACGTAGCAGGAGCCTTTCATGATACAAAGATGTTGTATCGTATCATATGTATATAGTCCATCATTTGAGTTGTATATTTTGAGATTTTGAGATTCAATTTATACCCATTATAAAGTTTGGAGCAAGATGAAGTCAGTTTACGATAAGGAAAAAATACAAATATGTGTTGAAATACAATATTCTACTACTGGCTATGGAAAGTAACACAATTGCAGCTAGAACGTGAACTACTGTTCTTAAAATCAGCTCATGATAGATACCTTGATAGCTTGCTAAAAACGTGCATACACTAATAACGCCCTTATACTGAAATGACCATTTTAAAGCCATAAACGGACCATTTGTTAAAATCAAGTTATTCAAACATAATAATAGTAAGATATAATTGCGAAATAATTCCCAATGCATTTTTGGCCCGGCATGGCCAGGTAGTTAGGGCGCTCGACTCGCAATCTGAGGGTCACGGGTTCGAATTTCCGTCACACCAAACATGTTCGCTCTTTCAGCCGTGGGGGCGTTATAATGTGACGGTCAATCCCACTATTCGTTGGTAAAAGAGTAGCCCAAGAGTTGGCAGTAGGTGGTGATGACTAGCTGCCTTCTCTCTAGTCTTACACTGCTAAATTAGGGTCGGCTAGCGCAGATAACCCTTGTGGAGCTTTGCACGAAATTCAAAACAAACAAACAAACAAACCCAATGCATTTTTTTTTTGTCAGAAAGAAGATGGCAAGTTATCCAACAATGTGAAACAATTTAGGAAATGGCTCCCAATCATAGACGAAGGAAAGGAGAATAGGGTGTGTAATCTCCCCAGATCTGCATCTGGTAAATTGGGCAAAGAGATGTTAATAACTTTAAAGCTACCACAAATTACGTGTACGTCCCACCATGTATATTTTAGTAATTGTTCAATTTGAAGTCTATAAATTCTACATTTTCTTGTGGTCATACCTCTGATACCCAAAGAATTATCATGTTGAGGTCACGTATGCACCTTAGCCTCTTCTCCTAGGTAACTTTTGCTTCCTATGCCTGTAAGATATACATTCATTATCTTGTCTGATTGCGGATGGTAATTTTTCTGCCACTGTGAAGAATTTTTGGAAATAACTTGCAATAATTTATTATATAATTATTTAAATGTTACGTAAACATGTTATGTATCAGTTGTTTAAATTTCAAGTGCCATGTGAAACTCATGAATATAAGATGGAATAATAGATGTCTAGAAATATTAAAACAGTAAATAACATAAATAATGTATAAATTGTGATAGTGTTAGTTTGTTCGAATATAGCAGAAAAGTAATTTCATAAACATACACTTCTATTCAGGTCTTTAGAAAGAATTCTGGTGATTAGAGTTGGTTAGCAACTAAGTTATTAACACGTTAACGAAAAGAACACAAATGAAATTGATTTAAGCATTTCTAAATAAAAATGTGATTAACATTTATTAAAAAATTTTCGAAAAATGAACTATTATCTATGATATTTTCTTTTGTCTTTTGTATCCGTTTTTGGTAAAAGAAAATCGAGCAATACACAAACAAACAGGCAGAATGCAATGGGACCTTCCCCATTTCACGACTATATTTGGTCTGATATTATATCCATTTCAATCGTCTATTAATCTCCAGCATTAGAAAGGATATTTTGAGACTAGATTTTGCCTATCTAAGCTGATACTTTATTTCATAAAAACCATCCACTTACAACGCTATAAACAGGGTTTCGACACCCGTGGTGGGCAGGGCGAAGGTAGCCCATTGCCTAGCCTAGTGCTTAACTTCAAGCAAAAAAAAAAACCTTTTCCTGAAAAGAAAGGGAAGTTATAAAGATCGATAAATGAACTTCGAAACATTTGCTCATATTTATAGTTTCCCTGAGTAGGATAAACCGACTTGGTCTTTTTTACATTTCTAATTGAAACTCCTTCTTATAGAAGCCTTACAAACGAGTAACAAATAATGGTTAGTTTATATTATTCTACTTTGGACCCCAGGTGGGCTAGCGGTAAGTTTACGGATTTACAACGGTAAAATGCAGGACTCTGTTTCCTCGGTGGACAAAGTACAGATAACCCATCGTGTAACTTTGCTCTAAGAAAACAACAATAATCTATACTTTGGACCCCAGGTGGGCTAACGGTAAGTTTACGGATTTACAACGGTAAAATGCAGGACTCTGTTTCCTCGGTGGACAAAGTACAGATAACCCATCGTGTAACTTTGCTCTAAGAAAACAACAATAATCTATACTTTGTGTTTTATTTTTGTCGTACACGTATTACATTTCGACAACTCATTGCGTTAAATTGTTGTTTGTGCTTTCTTTACCCAGTCAACAGAATGATCAAGAGATATTATATCACGTGTTTCCTCATCTGCAATTTTTAACTCTCGTTAAGAGCTGAAGTAATTTGTGGTGAATATTTTTAAAGAAAAAAAACCTTTAAAGAGACTGAATAAAATACTATATAGAACCAACTTGTTTCTGAAGAAATGTTTGGTAATAACACAAACAAAAACGTTGAAGTAGGACTCTTTCAACTTTTTCGGAAGGATGGCCAAAAGTTTATCTTATTAGAACGAACAACAAGAACAACATAAAAGCAGCTAAGAATGCGCTGTTTACGTGATTTCAATTCATTGTATTCACACCAGTATGCAAATAGAGCTCATGAGACGATGAATTCCAACGAAGTTTTATTGAACACAGCGTTTTTTGATTCACGTTTTCCGAACAGAGCTGTAATTTGGAAATGATTGTTTTGACAAAATCGAAGCGTATGGGCGTTTCAGCATGTGTGAATTTCTCTTACTTGAACAATTATAAACAAAAAGCAAACAAGATAGGAGGAAAAATTGTAACTAAGAAAGCGATATACTTTTTTGTTAAGAAATGTTCACACTGTAAACTATGTAAAAGTTTATTCAACTTTTCGAGAAAGAATCAGTCCAGGCAGCAAATACTTAATGAATATAATTTTCTCTGTTGATGCATTGTTTTCAAGGCCTGAAAGAAACAAAATCGTAGTTTAATAAGGCCTGAAAATTTTGGAAGTTTTATGAAACACATTTTGTTATTTATAATGTTAGAAACGAACAAAAACATGTTGAAAGAGTAGATTTCAGACAGAAATAAAAATGCCCTTTATGTAAACAACAACTCGAAATATAATATCTGTATTTAATTAAAATAAACAATTAGATTTTTACGCTGTAACTATAATCAAAAGTTGTACATCTTTTCTTGAATAAAAATAATACTTCTTTCGATGACAGGGTACTTTTTATAATTAGGCAAAATTTTAAAGTAAAACAGTAATGGTAATGAAAACATTCTTAGCTTCATGCTGAGAAAGCGTGAGTCCAAGTTTATGTTATTTTCTGATTACGAACATGAAAAGATATCTCACTTGGAAAAAGCTCAGTAAACAGTGGTCTTATAGCCAATGTTACTCAATGAACGACTGATACAGGACCCAGGAAGAGAGTAAACTTGGTCATCGATCATTTCTCTCAGCACCATTATTAGATACATTATGATTGTCATAACGCAATGGAAGAAAGCATAACTGAGGATTTTAGCTCTCATTCAGACCAGCGGAAGCCATATTTTATCCTTCGGTAGCGAGATTTTCCAGAATTTATGTAAGGTTCCGAGTCTTTGGGGGATGCTCCTGATTACTTCCGGGGCAAGAATACCACCACCAAGGGAGGCAGCTTGTGTATAGAGACTGAACGCTATTCTGCGACAGTTGTCTCATCCATATTCAACAGTTAAACATGAACTATAGGAGGCAGGCGATTTGATATTCTTCCCCTCTATACGCTACCCCTTCCCCCGTTATCTTTCTTCCTGGCAAAGAATGGACTACAGTAGTTGGAGGCGGGAAAATGTGTTCACAAAGCAAATGCAGCAGGTCGGTATCTATAATCTTTGCGAGAACTGGAGTTGACTAAATATACAGCCGAGTAAGAAAGGAATACGGGTTTCCGGGTGCGATCTTGCCGCTCTTTACATATTTACAATCGTACATTAATGCAATAAACTATAAGCACTCAACACTTCTTTCTCAGACATCAGGGTTATACGTGAAAGGAGCTTTCACAGGCGTAGATGCTAAAACTGCCTTAGTACTAAACAGATAACCTTTGAAGTGAAGCATAGATGCCAAAATTGCCTTAGTACTAAACAGATAACCTTTGTTGTAAAGCGTAGGTACCAAAATTGCCTTAGTACTAAACAGATAACCTTCGTTGTGAAACGTAGGTACTAAAATTGCCTTAGGAATAAACAGATAACCTTCGCTGTGAAGCGTAGGTGCTAAGACTGACTTATTACTAAACAGATAACCTTTGAAGTGAAGCATAGATGTCAAAATTGCCTTAGTACTAAACAGATAACCTTTGTTGTAAAGCGTAGGTACTAAAATTGCCTTAGTACTAAACAGATCACTTTTGAAGTGAAGCATATATGAAAAAACTGCCTTAGTACTAAGCAGATAACCTTTGAACTGAAGCACAGATGCCAAAATTATCTTAGTGCTTAACAGATAACCTTCATTGTGAATCTAAACAAATGAAAGTAATAATGATTATTATTTCTTTACGTGCTTTGAAAATTATAATTTTATTCCCCTTAACACATTTTGAAAGAAAAAATCAGAAGGAATATTTCTTTCCAGTCTACAAGCTTTATGCTGTGGAACCGCAATAGTAACTTTATCTTAAGGTACAGTTATGGTTTAGCCTTTCAATACGGTAGCAAAACCACCTTCAATACTTCTCACATTAACTCAAAACACCAATCAAGTTTCTGGTATTGCCACTCTTTTTCCCGCTATTTCGTTGGTATGCAAAACAGAAACTGAGGTATATTTCAGTTACTGTCGTTATCGCAGTATTTATATAACTCAAATATCGCGACATGGGTGTGCCTGAAGATTACAAATGACCATGAAAAATAGGGCTTTTGAGAAGGCTAGTTTTTTATATACTCAATCCAAACTGATTTGTTAGCGTGAGAATTTTCTAAACTAATGTTCTCAAAAGGAAGATTTATAAGTGAACGTAAAACAGTAAAAGAAAGAACATGAGAAGTTATTTAATTTTCTAAAGTTGTAGTATTTCATGACAAAAAACAAATGAAAAGCTCCTTTTGAACGAGAGAGCATAGTGCTGCATAAGGAAGAACTCCAGAAATATGGAGCTAATATATTATGCTCTAGTATATCACCGCCCAAAGATGCTTAATGGTTATTTCATTGTTTTTGAAACTTGTAGCGCATACTGGAAGGATCTAGAAATTTTGACAATAAAATTAAAAAAAAGACCCTTACTTTACAGATAATGATAAAAAGTTTTTTAGTTGAGCCAACGTTTCGCTATTGCGGTTTCATCAGGGCTAGTGGTTCAGTTATTGTACTACTAGCTCCGATGAAGCCGCATTGGCGAAACGTTGGATGAAATTAAAAATTGTTTTATCATTATCTGGAGAATAAAAGCCTTTTTTTCTAACTTTAATGATTATTTCGTACTTTCAAGACCTGCAAATATTATCACTCTTGGATTCAGTTTAATTATCAGATTTGCATATCTTAAAATTATGTAATTATGCATAGCTTTGAAATAATATAATGCTATTCGGGAGAACAAAAAGTTGTTTTTAAGCATAGAAGTAAACATAGATAAATAAAACCAACACCCGCGTATTATAATGCTACAAAATAAAGCCGAACTACTTGAAATCTATTTCTCGCTATAGAGGAAGTAGGAAGAAGATGTTAGTGTAAGGAAGATTGTGGTTTCTTTAAAATAGAGGAAACAGGAAGAAGAGTTTAATGAAGGGGAAAATGTTCTCTTTTGGTAACTCTTGGGCTATTCTTGCTGGATCAAATAGAGGGATTTAACCCTCACTCTTATAACGCACCTCTGGATCTGAAGTTCGGGGCGGATTCACAGATCGGCAAGGCAAAACACTATACTACGTATTAGATACGAAGTGTGACCATAAATATAACTACATACTAGTTTTATGTCTCTAGTTAAACAACTGGTCTTGTTTTAATAAACACATAATAATAACAGGCTCAAAATGATGCTGTTCACATTCACTAATAGGTTTATAATTGATTAGAAGGAATCTTTCCGAATTAATTGGTATAGACAATGCTACTATTAAGAAGTATTTTGTTTTGATATTACCATGGTTCTGGATTCAAAATATTGTATTATTGATAAGCTTATGTAAAAATATAAAAGTAGAACACCTTCTTACTATAATTTTATAAAGGCGTCCAAGAAATCGGCAGAACTGTCTAACTTGTAAAGGTTCAATATGCGTGAGGAAGTAATCAATAATTTTCCTTCATAATCAATTCTGTAATTGTGTTTTTGTAATAATACATATATGTGGGTTAAACAACACGGAGGATAAATTCATATAACGGTCTTAATTGTGTGTTTAATTATTTATGAGTGAGAAGTTCAGTAGGTATAAATAATATTTGTTATGAATCAAACATTTTAACTCAAAGCTACACTAGTGAACACATAATTAACAGAACAAAACAAAATTAACATATATTACGTGCTGAAGCTGTGTGATTCTATTCATAACAAAAATCCACACTTAACATATGTTACGTAGTAAACGGAAGGGGAGTATTTTCTGGTTACATTATGATGCAAATTTTGTTGTTGTTTTTTTGTGAAAACGAAACCTCTCAAATTTTAACATCTCTCAAATTCAGTGATGCTTTTAAACATGAAAACCATCAGCTTTAAAATCTAACGAATTGTTGCTAAAATTCCAAAACTGATCTGAGAAATGCACTTCATATAATCGCATTGCAATTATTTTATGAACAAAATTTAAACTGCTTGCTGTAAAACCTGTTCAAATCTAGAACGCATTAGAATTTGAAGTTGATATGTATTTGATGCTATTGACAGAGTCTGTTCCACAACATTACACATGGAAGGTGTATTGCAGTTAAGTTGAACTCACAGACAATATTGTTTTTTTGGTGTCGTTTTTTGGGGGTGGGTGGGGGGATATCGACCATATTTTCTTTATCTCTGATTACACAGAACTAAGGTGGTGATAATGACATCCTCATTTGAAATCGTTTGATGGAACTTAAGGTATTGACATTAAATACTATAATTTAAAATTTCAATAAATAAAGATACTGTTTATGAAATTCAATAAGTCTTCTTAATACATGTTTCCATGCTACGCCGACATAAATCGAAAAATTCTGAAAGGGAAAAGAAAGGTTTTCTTCAGAAACAACACCACTTTACATCACTTCTCTTGTGCTACTGCTGGAGATCACGACTGCATTACTGCAAAGCCTAACCGACAACTGGTTGCTTCAGCCTAGATGAACGGTTTGGTTTGTGTTGTCTGTGCTAGCCGTCCCTAATTTAGCAGTGAAAGACTAGAGGTGAGCAGCTAGTGAACACCACCCATTCCCAGCTATTTGGATACTCTTTTACCATCGACTAGTGGGATTGACCGTCACATTATAACGACCCCAGGCGGAAAGGGCGAGTATGTTTGGTGGAACGGGAATTCGAACTCGTGACCCGCAGAATGCGAGTCGAGCACCCCAACCACCTGGCCATGTCAGGCCCCTCGATTAACGGAGGCGGAATAATGCCAATATAAGGAGTTTCTAAGTGATTCTTTAGTAAAATTAATATCGGTGACACAGGCTGTTGAAAATCAATAATTCGTTAATACAATGCTTTTTAGATACATAATTATATTATTTAACAGGCAGAGTCCGAAGCTTCATCGATATATTTAACTTTAAAAAAAAATATTATACATGTAATTAAAAATTCTGTATCGGTTACAGTCGTCAGGAAAGCCTGTATTGAAAAAATGTCGACAGTGTTTTGTGTACACTAAACCATCCTGGTACTTCAGGTGACGGGCAGTTGGTTGGGTGGGGTTCATTGGCGCAAAGCAACTAGGCTATTTGCGCCATGACCGACAGA